ATCCGGCAATTCGTCGACAGCGCGCAGAACCGAATCCCCACCACCCGCGCCTGGCATCCATGCACCCACCTCCAGAACTGCGCTCCATGCCAGTGCGGATCACCGCAAAAAGTGACTATTTCTTCCTTTGGAAAAGTGAATTATCCCCGACTATGTTTATTTGCACTGAACATTGACACTGGACAGTACACGGCGACCACACGTACTGTACCAATACATGTTGGGCGAGAAGAAAATAACCACGCATTAACCTTTAAGTCTACATGCGCTGAACATCAACTAGTTGCTAATTAAAATGCGTATTAACTGCCTGTCAGATTTATGTTTGCGCTTTTGCTTATTTCTGCTTTTTTCCAGCCCCCAGGTCGTACGCTACTTGAATAACTGCTGATCGCCCGACTTGCTTTTTCTTTGGTTTCTTGCTGCTCTGTATGATCAAAATAAATCGAAATTAATAAAATTTGTGCACGTCGTGACCGGTTCTGTTCATCACACCCGCTCCAGTTCCTGCTAATTATTTTGCTTTTTATGGAAATTTATGTTTTTGATGTCTACTTCTATGCTTCGAAGTTTGTGAACGAGTTTTCCAATCATTCATTCCAATCATTCACGAGCGTTCCTAGGAACGCTCGTGACCACCGCACGGAAATTCGATTTTCTGTTCTGCCGTTCTGCGTTCGTGTAAATATAGTCTATAATTATAATAATTAGTGTTGCATTCAGGTATATATACATCAATACATGTGTGTTTTTCTCGACGAAAACCAGTTCGCAAAAATAAACTACACCTCTGCATTGGACACTAATTAAAAGATGTTCTAACCTTCTGATAATTAATAATCTTTGGCCTTTCGCGACGACGTGTTCTGCGAAATAAACAGCGGCTTAGTTCTTCAAAAAAACCTAAGAGACACATTTTTAACATTCATAATTAGATAGGTTAGTTCTTTTACGACTCAAAAAAGTTTTTGCATACAGGCATATTGTATAAACGGTAAAAGCCTAAACACAACTGAGTAGTAACATAACAGCACGGCTTCCGGTTGTTAGAGTGTCTGTTCTTGTCAACATTCGTTAAAGCAAACATACAATAATGTAGGACGAAATGGTCGCATAGCCCCATACCCAGCATTCTATACGCATGCGGTGCAGTGCACTTGTACGAACCGCATATTTTGAACTTAGCCGTACAGGGTACTACACTGCATTCGTACTGAATGTGGAGATGTTGGGTACGCGACCATTTTGTCTTAAGCTGTATCTGCTAATCAGAACACTAAGAAAACCTTGAAAGCTGTCATGTCACACATCCATCGTTACAGAATGGTACAGCCGAGACACCAGCGGTTACGGCGTTCCATAGCGGCCCGTTTTTTGGCAATTTCTTTTAATGCTTTTTCGTTCTGTGCCCGAAGGCGAGCAAAGTGCGCATTGAGAAGCGCCAATTCCTGTGGTATTAAACCGAGGACTTTGTCTGTCACGAAGTAAAACAATGCGCATACGGTATACGCCGTGTGTTATTTCATGTCGGACATTTTCCAGACATTCCCCAGACATAACAGACATTTTCCTTAAGGAAAATGGCCCGGCATATAGCGTCAAAAATGGGATACATACGCTAAAACTTTCGCTTTCGCGCACTCCGAATCATTTTTTTTGGAATACTTTATGTCAATCTGAAGCTAAATAATTTGTATAGGTAAAATTGTTCTGAAAGCCGTCTGCGCGCAACATCCGGTTGCCGAGATCTGGCGAAATAAAGGGCGAAAAGTTCAAGTGGATTGTTGTGTATCAAAAGTCTGATTATTATCCGATCTGTTTGAAACTTTGCTGTAAAAGACACATGGCCATAAAGTCGAAAGTAAACCAATATCATACACAGCATTTTTTTCGATTTTGAAATGAATTTCCAAAATTTTAACATTTATTTTAAAATTATGGGAAAATGCTATGAACCGGGAATTGGTTCACTTTCCACTTCATGGCCACGTGTCTTTTACATCAAAGTTTCAAGAAGAGCGGGTAATAACGAGACTTTGGTACACACCAACGCATTTAGGCTTTTCGCCCATTTTGGTTCGCCATATCTCGGCAACCGGATGTTGCGCGCGCAAACAGTTTTCAGAACAATGTATACAAATCATTTAGCTTTAGTATGACATAAAATATTCCAAAAAAGTGATTCGGAGTGCGCGAAAGCGAAAGTTTTAATGTAAGTGTGTATAGACAGTATAGTGTATACCATTTTGGACACCATGTACTGGGCCATTTCCCTTAACGTACAATGTTGAAGATGAGTTTTATCTACCCGTTTGGTCGCTTAAGTGAAACACTATGATAAGTGAATGGCCGATGGTCGTTTAAGGAGAATTTGTACTATGGTCGCAAGATGGAAAACGAGATTTTCGAAATTCTACAGTTGTAATAAGAAGGGTTATATCTATTACTGGGCGGAAGTTAAGTAAAATTAGCTTGCAACGAAAAAAGTTATCAAAGTTTTTTGGTTGGCGATCAGGAGCAATTTGGCGGGCTGGGGTATTTTTCTACACTACTGCCATCTGTGGTCAAAACCAGTGAAAGAAAGATTGCTTCGAGAAGATGCCTTGTGGTTGTTATGCACCATGCCAGATTGCAAGTGTGACAGAAACAGACAAGACTCATGTTTGCACATTGATGACACAGAAAGCATGGCAAAGGCGCTAGAGAATGGAAAGACACAGCGCTGTCCTGTGAGTGCACATGAAAGAGTGGCCAAAGTCCACTCTTCGGTGTGCACACAATCAGTGTGGCGGCACTGCAAGCGCAGAATCGGTAAGACCAAAGGAAAGCGCAGTACAAAAGAAGGTTCTTCGTCCCATCCTGAACAATTTTTGAAAAACAACTTCTAAAATCAATAACAATTCGCATCGGTTTCAGAAAATTTCACACTTTGATCAGACTAAAGAAAAATCATTTTCAAAAAGAATTGTGAAGCGTTTTTGTGGAAAATGTTTATGTACTCTTTAGAAAATAAAATAAAGTAACTTTGGGTGTAAAAAAGTTTGTTTTTTTCAATACCGGGTGGGTTTTTTTGAAAAATCGCTCCCCAATACTTTAGTCATTCTAACAGAACACACTGCTGTTCTTGAATGAAAAATTTAAAAAATCTGCTTGAATTGTTATTGCGTCCGCAAAATAACGACCTTAAATCAGTAACTTTTACACTTTAAAATAACCAAACCGAGTTTAGACTTCTAATATATGTAGTGAAAATATCATAGTGTTGGGTGCAATGCATAGTTATCATGCAGCACAAGGACACGCATTGCGCCAGCGAGAACAGTCAAAAGAGGTCGAAAATCGATTAAACAAGATGTACCCTTTACAGAGTACTTGAAATTTTTAAAAAAAGCTTGAACCGTTTTCTTGCAAATGTCTCGTAAAGAAATCAGTGAAAAAAGCGTTTTAGCCACGCCACGACTGCCACTGCACTACGCTCAAATATTTGCAATCACCGCCATACAAGGGTGGCTGTACCATCACCGCATTTGCGGCTGTTAATTCAATTCAGGTAAATTTATGTTCAACGGAATTTTTTTTCGTTCTTTGAAGCTGGTGTCTTCAAACTAAATTTATTTTGGTTTAAATAAACTTCTTACACGGCGATGGTACAGCCACCCTTGTATGGCGGTGATTGCAAATATTTGAGCGTAGTGCAGTGGCAGTCGTGGCGTGGCTAAAACGCTTTCGTCACTGATTTCTTTACGAGACATTTGCAAGAAAACGGTTCATGCTTTTTTAAAAAATTTCAAGTACTCTGTAAAGGGTACATTCTGTTCAATCGCATGAGAAAAAAATCCAAACGAAAATCGGTTTGTGGAAAACGTTATTTCGGGTGTTTCACTTAAACGACCATCGCCCATTCACTCATCATAGTGTTTCACTTAAACGGCCATACACTGTTACCGGTTCCGCGTCCCCACAGGCATGCCCTGCCACGGACAACAACTAATGGTCCCATTTTCAAGCATAAAAATGTAAAGTATTGTCACTTATTTATAATAACAATGCTGTTCATTTTGTAGGCAGAAACCTGATACCTGATGCACTAGCGGACCCCGCCACTGGTCCAGCAGAATCCGCACATAGGGTAATAATACCGCTACATAAACTTTAGTAATGTCAAAAGAAACAGTAATTAACTTTGGATAATTGCAGTCTTATTCTGCTATTACGCTGCTCAGCACTCAGCAGCGTATGAAAAAATGATACGACGTGTTAACGAAAAACCAGAAAACGTCGAATCTTTTGCACTATGTTGACAGGGAGAGGAAAAGAGGGCAGTCAAAAGCAGCTCTTGGGAAAGTGCAGCCGCACTTTGCAATTGCATTGTGTCTAGGACAGCTATGTTCCAAAAACGGGAAAGAGCACGCACGCATGCATCGCATAGAGAGATCGCATATTCAAAAGCTGTATTAGCTGCCTCTCCTTACTTGACCAGAAGAGGCATAGCGTCCAGCGCCGACTGCTGCTCCCTTCAGTCCAGCCGTAGTCTAGCTGAACAGACAGAGCTCTCTATCCTCTATTCAGCTAGACTACGGTCTACCCAATTGAACCAACTCGTCCCCGGCCAGGCAGCTTCTCTGCTTCGCCTGTGCCTGCATTCTCTCTCCGTTCAAAACGGGCTAGCGTTGTTCCTTTCTCACATGATTCGTGAAAGCTATCTTTTGCACTGCACATTAATATTATTTAACTAGCCGCGCAGAAATTAAGCAAACCACTGTATTTGTTGGCTGTTGCTAATCCAAATCATTTTCGAAAGAACGTTTTTCTCTTCCTTTCGGTAACTGATTCTGCTGACACGCTTTATACAGGTAACGTGATTTTTACGGAATCATAAGGAAAGATGACCATATTTTTGCAGAACATTTGCTAAGGTAGGTATCTCAACTTAATTGTTAAAAAATAGCGAATTAAAATGTAAGAGAGTCAAGATATTGGATGTGTGTATGATGCCTAGAATGTCTGAGGAGCGCTACCACACCATGACGCCGGAGGAGCGTCGCGCCCGCACCCTCGTGGCCGACGCCCGCACGGCGGTGGTCCATGGCGACCATCTGGCCGCCAGCCATCTATTCCGCAAAGCCGGCAACTTCTTCAAACTGGACCACCGTTGGCAGTGGGCCGGTGTCGCTTTTCAAGAAGCCGGAGAACTGAAAGCCCCGCTCGAGGCGCACGCCCCCACCAACCCCCTACGATCAGTCCGAAACGCCGCCCCGAAGTTCGGCCGCTGGACTGTATAAAGAAGCAAGCGACTGCTACATCAAAGCCGACAACTCCCACGAGGCGGTGGTCTGCCTGGAAACTGCGGCCGAAATCCTGGCGGACGCCGGGGAGTTTCGCCCGGCCGCCTGGCACTACAATTCCCTGGTGGGGATGGTGGCGCCGCAGGACGCTGACACCAAGATCCGCTATTGGGAAACGGCCGCCCGACTCCACGAGGCCGACGACCGGCATTGGACGTTTTTGGCCAGCAACGCGTGGATGGCGGCGGGTGAGTGGCTGGCTCGTAAGGGCGACTACACCGCCGCGATCGACCGCTTCGAGTGGCTCGCCCACCGTAACGCAACGGCGCCCACGCAGGGGCAGTACCGGCAACGGGTATTTCTTCTGCAGCCCGAACAGCAATATATCGGCGGCGCGGGCATGTCAGTTGCGGGCGGTGCTGTGTTATTTGTGCCGTGATGGGCCGGAGGCCGCCAAGAAGGCTCTGGAGCGCTGCGAGGAGCGCCTACCGCCGAGCGGACGCGACGCACGGAATGATCGGATCCGACGTGCGATTGTAGAAGCCATGGGCGGCGCCGGGCGCTGCTTCACCGCCCGCAGTATCGCGCGGACGCTGCAGACGCCGGATAGCAGCGCCGACGGGCGTATGGACACGTGGACCAGGATAATGCTGGAACGGGCGTGGCAGCTGCTGCGAAACGCCGAGGAAATGGGCAGGCAGCGCTGAATAAACGGAATCAGGCATACCGTTTGTTGGTTACTCATGGTCATATCTTTGTTATTTCCGCCACATCTGTTGTTATTGTACCTGATATACGAGTAGTACTATGTATGCGTCAGAGGTCGCCTTGCTCTTGACATCTTGCATAAAGGTCTATTATATTTTATCAAGCATGACCTTTTTCGCATCACAACAGCTGCATTGAGACGTTGCTTGTCCGTGGCTCAGTTGACCTCTGTATCTGCTCTGGCGCACGCGTTACCGGCCATTAATGGTCCTGCTACCGCTTTGTTTGGTCGTTTCGCTGTTTGACAATAAATACTGGCATTGTTACTGGCAATGGCATTGTTGGTGTGAGACTGGCATTGTTACTTTATAAGGGAGATTGGTAAGAAGTTGTTTTTAAGGACGGGCGAGAGTCGCTCTACTTGTTTTTTGTTTCAGCGTTTAAGTTTGGAGATTATGCGTGGTAATGCTATGAGTGTACTATGCACAGTCCCTTCTTATGTTAATTGGGACAAATTCTTCATTTGATTGTTATTGTTGAGCGTAGCTGGCTTTGTACATATTGAAAAAATAAATTACATTTTTATAAATACGTACACGAAGACATTTTTGTATCGTTTAATGGCACCATGATTTGTATATTACGGCGCTGCGTCCCGTTATTAGACAAGGCGAATTTAATTGGCCAAAACTGTACTGCCGTGCAAGACAAGACAGATTGTCGTTTCATCGAAATTTTTCTCGGTAATTTTTCGTACTCGTACAGTGTACAACTGTATATTTCGCCTCAGCCACCATTGAGACTGAACTCGAGCCTTTGGGAATATCGCGAACCAACGGCCTACGCCCTGACGGTGTCACCTTAGTACCGTGGGAGCGAGGCAAAATGTTAACATGGGATGTGACATGCGTGTGTACGATGACTCTTTCCCATATCGCTGGAGCATCCACACAAGCCGGCGCCGCAGCGGCTCAGGCCGAACGAAAAAGTACCGAGAAGCACCAGGACATCACGCATGATTACCTGTTCCTTGCGGTTGGCGTGGAGACAGTGGGCCACTCGGACCGGAAGCCTCCCGGCTGGTTAGCGAAGTGGGCAAGATGATTTGGCAGGAAACAGGCGAGAAACGTGCAACGGAGTTTTTGCGCCAGAGGTTCAGCATCGAAATTCAACGTGGAAACGCGGCATCCATCCTGGGAACGGCACCGGCCTCGGCTAATTTAGATCAAATGTTCTCTGTAATTCGGCCGCATGTTTCTGCTGTTTGTTAATATTACGATGTGATGTTTCTTTTGTGAATTGTAATCTTGTCTTTGTATTCGATTAAAAAGATATAACATTCGAAAAAGGTATAACATTCGATTAAAAAGATATATCATTCGATATAACATTCGATATAACATTCGAAACTGTATATTACCTCAACCTGTAATAAAAACTATTACGAATTTATACATAGTTTAGAGGATTATTGCAAAACACGTACAACCGGTGGCAGCCATAAATGCATTTAATGTGTGTGCTCTGTCGGAGTCTTCGACTAACGAAGCAGATGGCTGCTTGAATGGATTACCGAACTTTGCCTACTGAATCGTCCCTGTGATTGTATCAGGCTCAGCTACTAGCCAGTGTCCAATTATGATAATATGGAAATTTGGGGCAAGGGAGAGCAGACAAAGAAATTAGTCCAGCTGCCGCAGTCGGGTGCTTGGCGCTACTCTCTGGCCTTGCATCCGCTAATGATAATTATTGATCCAGCCAGAGAAGAAGCTGGTGGCTTGCCCGCATGCGCCTTGCCATTACGCTACCACGCTTGTACAGATCTGGAAATTAGGATTAAAAATTGCCCGAATGTCATTCTCAGCAGCCGATACAAGTCGCTTAAAATTCTTTGGCCGAATTTGTTTCATTTCTCGATATCACTGCCATCCAAACACGTAAAGGTGCTTTTGAAAAAGAATTTGAGTTGACCATCGAAATTGCAAATCTTTAGAGCTTGATTTTGGTCCTAATCCACCCTCCACAACCTGCGTTTCTGCTCTATTCGGAAGCGATTTTGCGATATGTCTCAATACAGGTAAAACGATGATTCTCTCATAAATCGCCGGAAATTTGTACTTACTCACTACGAGTATATTGCGATCATAGGCGAATTTAACTCGCTTGGGCGGGAGGGGCACTGAGAACCCAAGAACCCCAAAGACAGCAAGATAATTTACTACAAAACGTATAAAAAATTTTGTATAAAGTAGGAATTGAACGAAAATTGTTGGTAAAGCCAGATGTCAACAGTACATGATAAATGGAGCCAGGAGCATTTTCGCGCGAAGCGCGAAGCCGACGAACGTTTTCACTACAGAAATTATTAGAAATTCAGTAAAAAATACCAGAAATAATTTGAACAATTGTTCAATGGGTGTAAAAAGGCGATATTTTATGTACAGAGTTCAGAAAACCAGTGAACTTTCGCGCGAAGCGCGAAGACGGCGCACGATTTCATCGTAGAAATTGCTAGAAATTGTATAAAAATTAGTAAAAATAAGTTAACTACGGATACGTGACTGAAATTTTTCTGCGAAGCCGATGCACGCTTTTACACCTGGAACTGCTAGAAATTCGATAAAAAATAGTAGAATATTACGAGTTTGTGATAAAACTCCTTTAGGAACATGGTCTATTAACAAAAGATTAGGATGTATCCTCTGATAATGTGTGCTTCGTGGAAGACCGTGAACTGTACAGGCACTTTCGCGCGGAGCGCAAAGCTAATAAACAGGTTTGACTGAAAAAATCGCTAGAAATTCAATAAAAAATAGCAGTTTCTGCAGTTTTTTGCAAATCCGGTAAATTTTTCAAGCAGTACTCCCCTTTACTTTTTTGAAGTACCCATTTTTCCAAAACTTCCGGAGGGGACACGTGCCCCCGTGCCCCCTCCCTAAATTCGCCCCTGATTGCGATCGATCAACTTTTGAAGAGCGATCGCCGATTTAGGAAACCTGGAGTTACAGCTATTTAGGAACCTTCAAGTTAATATTTTCGTTGAGAAAAAAATTTTATTTGATATCATCAAGAAAATTAAGATACGATTTTAATCATGAATACCAAATGTGTAGGATGAACAGCGCTCGCCACCCCATGACCGCGGAGGAACACTGCGCCGGCACCCTGCTGGCCGCCGCCCGCGCAGCGGCCGCGAAGGGCGACCCGTTGGCTGCCAGCAATCTCTTTCGCAATGCCGGCGACCACTTCAAATTGGACGGCTGTTGGCAGTGGGCCGGCGCCGCCTATCAAGACGCCGGGGAGCTGAAAGCGCCGCTCGAGGCGGCCGACAACCACAATGACCCGTACGATACCGGCAACTTACCATACGGAAAGGAAGACGCTACGCCCAGCGACACGGCCGCTGGTTTACTGAAGGAAGCCAGCAGTTGTTTCGTCAAAGCGGGCAACACCCGCGGGGCGGTGGCCTGTTTGCATTTGGCGGCTGAAGTGCTGACGGAAGCCGGGGATTTACTCACAGCCGCGAATTGTTACTCCTCCATGGGGAAGATGGTGGCGCCGCGGGACGTCGACGCAGCGATCGGGTATTACGAAAAATCGGCGCGACTGCACGATGTCGTCGGCAGCACGAAGTACTACGCCAACACCGCGTGGCTGACGGTGGGCGAATTGTTGGCGCAGAAGTATGACTATACCGCCGCGATTAATCATTTCGAATGGCTGGTCCACCGTAACGCCCCGAAATTCAACGCGGGCGATGAGGTCGTCCATCTGGGGTGGAACGGCGACGTGGGGACAATGCGGAAAGGTCACTTCCGGGCGGTGCTGTGCTATTTGTGTCGCGACGGTCCGTCGGCCGCTGAAAGAGCCGTGGACCGGTTCGCGAACCTGTTGCCGACAAACAAATGGAAGGACTTCGATGGGGAGTTGGAGATCCTGCGGCAAGCCATGGGATATGCCGAGAACCGCTTCACCGCGGAGAACATCGAGCGCACCTTGCAGCAGCCGGCTATGCGCTCTCCCAGCGGCGGTTATGGTCCGCGTTTCGGAGGGTACACCGGCAAGGACAGGGATGCGACATACGACGCCCTACTGGCTGGTCTCGTTGCCCTCAACAAGCAGCTCCAGGATATGCGGGGCGGTAGCACGGCCAAGAAGGATGACGGAACGGGTATCGACGGCAGCCGCAAATTGACACCGTGGACCGAGATGATGCTGGTCCGGGCGCTGCGGATGCTGCGTGACATGGGGCACGAGGCCAGACGCCACGTCTGACTCAGTACATCAGACGCGTACACCCATTTAACTGCAACAGCGGGTGCACTGAATCTTTCCCTTCTTTTGTTTTGGCAACGTTTATCTGCAACCGTTATTGACTGTGGTCGTTGCATTAAGTTGCACCACCGCATAGTATTGTTGATTTCGTATAGTCGTACCGCTGACCCATGCAAATGGCCTTATTAAGTTTTTGCTTCGCTATTGTAAACGTTCACCATGTTTCAGCCTGTTCTGTCAGCGTTTGGCGTTCGCGATAGTTCCCCGTCGCAGTCAAAGATCAAAAACAGTTTCTAGGTTGGTAAAATTATTTTATTAAGAAGATATCCATCTTGCTGTGTGGTGGTTGCATGGTGGTACATTGGGGATGCTCGCGGCCGTTACGTTTACACTGACGTGCAACGCGTTCTTCGATCGGCCTCTCAGCAGGGCCCCATCCGCCCGACCGTCCCCAGGACTGAAGCCGCGTTTCCGCGCTGAATTTCCACACTTATACGTTGCCATAAATACTGAACAGCGCGCGCTTCTCCTGTTTGTTCTTGGATACGCCGGCCGACTTCATTGATGAACTGGCGAGTACTTTCGCCACAACTTCCCATAGTTTCGAGAGCCACTGGCTGGAAAAAATGCCGATCAATGAGTTCGGAATAGAAGTTCCGCTTCCGCACTTCCGCTTCTTCAGCAGCCGATCCCGCTGCTTCTGAACAGCCAGCTATATACGAAGTAGCGAATGTGTCAGAAACTGTCACATCCCATATCAGAGGGAGGCCATTTCTCCATGGGAAGAGTGATAAGCCGTTTGGAAGCTTCCCGTTCAATGTGCTCAGTCCAGGAGGCTCCAAGATTGTCGGGACCTTTGCTGATCCGAGGCTACGCTGAATCACGCTATTCAAACTCGCATGCCTCCTGAACCTTCCTTGGCTTTTGACGCCCAGGAATATTTGCAGTGAATCTTAATTAATAACGAATACCATGTATCTGTAAGACGTGGTGTCCATTCAGCAGATAGGTTTGAAACCCCATGCTAGACTGTCATCCTCCCCGGAAATGGGCTACCTCCCCTGACTCGAATTAATACTAGGAAAGTGCACTCGCTTCTGGCGGGCACTGCATGACCGAAGCGTAGCGGTAAATTTATACGATTATGAAGTATGCAAAGATAAATCATGCAACCGGTGAGGTTTCCCAGACATATAAATATTCCGCTGTTCTCGGAACATGGCAAAAATTTCGGATGAGTCATTTTTGCAGGGTTTATTGAAAAATTTCTCCAAAGTCTACTTCGAGGAAAATTATTGCTGTCTGAGTTACGGCAACTGCCGGCGGATGCATGAGTTCACCATCTGTAGACGTTTTCTGGACAATATTTAATGCAGTTTCCAAATTTCATCTTTGACGAATCGTGTATCTTCTAGTTTGTTTTACCCGGTTACCATTCGAGTAGATGACGGTAACTTTTCGACGAAATACTTGCTCGTTTCTACATTAAGTGATTGTTAAATGCGGTTTGATAGCTTGTCCATGCCGGTATTGCGCTTGTCCTGCACTGAGCAGTTGTTACCGTACTTCCGGGCTTTGTATTCAAATTCATGGAGCGGTTCAAGCATTCAGAGTTATTTTAGCAGCAAATTGTGTAATGGTAGAAGAAAACCGCTGTATAGAAAAAGCAGGTAACCAAAAAAAGCACTCATGGTTGTCGCAAGCCACAAGTATAAACTGACTTGCGCCTTTTACGTATTTAAGTAAGGTGGTGGTGACCGATGAGAAAATGCAATCGTTACGTATGGACCGGTATGGTGTATAAAAGATAGGAACGCAAAATGGAAACCTAGAATTATATCAAAGAAGTATATCTCTGAAACGGCAGTAGGCAACGCAGCAATTGCATCTGTACTCGTATACAGCTACCGTGCCTCCGGACACTTTATAAAGAGAGACGGTGGCCAATGGATGCCACATACCACATTTTACACCGACGCTCGTGGCGTTCACCGACGGACACCGCGGTCTGCAAGCGCCTTGAGTATGCCTGTATGCGCGCGTGGGTGCATTTGATAGTAGGAAGGCCGCGCATGTGAGCATTAGGTGGCGGTGACGGACAGACACCACAGTTTGCAAGCGCCTTGAGTATATACGGCCAGCGCGCATGTGAGCATTAGGTGGCGGTGACGGACAGACACCACAGCTTGCAAGCGCCCTGATATACGGCCAGCGCGCTTGTGTGCATTAGGTATGGTGACCGACAGACACCAGCTCAGCAAGCGCCCTTGAGTATATACGGCCAGCGCGCTTGTGTGCATTAGGTGGCGGTGACCGACGACAATCACAGTTTGCCAAGCGCCTTGAGCATATACGGCCAGCGCGCATGTGAGCATTAGGTGGCGGTGACGGACAGACACCAGCTCTGCGCGCCTTGAGTATACGGCCAGCGGCCAGTGCATTAGGTGGCGGTGACCGACAGACACCACAGTTTGCAAGCGCCTTGAGTATATACGGCCAGCGCGCTTGTGTGCATTAGGTGGCGGTGACCGACAGACACCACAGCCTGCGCCGCCTATATACGGCCAGCGCGCATGTGAGCATTAGGTGGCGGCGACCGACAGACACCACAGCCTGGCGCGCCTTGAGTATATACGGCCAGCGCGCATGTGAGCATTAGGTGGCGGTGACCGACAGACACCACAGTTTGCAAGCGCCTTGAGTATATACGGCCAGCGCGCATGTGAGCATTAGGTGGCGGTGACCGACAGACACCACAGCCTGCAAGCGCCCGATATATACGGCCAGCGCGCATGTGAGCATTAGGTGGCGGTGACCGACAGACACCACAGTTTGCAAGCGCCTTGAGTATATACGGCCAGCGCATGTGAGCATTAGGTGGCGGTGACCGACAGACACCACAGCTCTAAGCGCCCGGAGCATACGCACAGCATGTGAGCATTAGGTGGCGGTGACCGACAGACAATCAATAGCCTGCGCCCTGACCTATATACGGCCAGCAGCGCATGAGCATTAGGGTGGCGGTGACCGACAGACAACAACAGCCTGGTGCCCTGAGCATATACGGCCAGCAGCGCATGAGCATTAGGTGGCGGTGACCGACAGACACCACAGTTTGCAAGCGCCTTGAGTATATACGGCCAGCGCGCATGTGAGCATTAGGTGGCGGTGACGGACAGACACCACAGTTTGCAAGCGCCTTGAGTATATACGGCCAGCGCGCATGTGAGCATTAGGTGGCGGTGACCGACAGACACCACAGTTTGCAAGCGCCTTGAGTATATACGGCCAGCGCATGTGAGCATTAGGTGGCGGTGACCGACAGACACCACAGCCTGCAAGCGCCTTGACTATATACGGCCAGCGCGCATGTGAGCATTAGGTGGCGGTGACCGACAGACACCACAGTTTGCAAGCGCCTTGAGTATATACGGCCAGCGCGCATGTGAGCATTAGGTGGCGGTGACCGACAGACACCACAGCTTGCAAGCGCCTGAGTATATACGGCCAGCGCGCATGTGAGCATTAGGGTGGCGGTGACGGACAGACAACCATTGCGCCTAAAGCGCCTTGAGTATATACGGCCAGCGCATGTGAGCATTAGGTGGCGGTGACCGACAGACACCATTGCCTGGCAAGCGCCTTGAGCATACATACGGCCAGCGCATGTGAGCATTAGGTGGCGGTGACCGACAGACACCACAGCCTTTAAAGCGCCTGAGTATAGCACTACCACCAGCGCATGTGAGCATTAGGTGGCGGTGACCGACAGACACCACAGTTTGCAAGCGCCTTGAGTATATACGGCCAGCGCGCATGTGAGCATTAGGTGGCGGTGACCGACAGACACCACAGCTTGCAAGCGCCTTGAGCATACGGCCAGCGCGCATGTGAGCATTAGGTGGCGGTGACCGACAGACACCACAGTTTGCAAGCGCCTTGAGTATATACGGCCAGCGCGCATGTGAGCATTAGGTGGCGGTGACCGACAGACACCACAGTTTGCAAGCGCCTTGAGTATATACGGCCAGCGCGCATGTGAGCATTAGGTGGCGGTGACGGACAGACACCACAGTTTGCAAGCGCCTTGAGTATATACGGCCAGCGCGCATGTGAGCATTAGGTGGCGGTGACGGACAGACACCACAGCCCTGCAAGCGCCTTGAGTATATACGGCCAGCGCCTTGTGCATTTGATAGCAGAAGGCCGCGCATGTGAGCATTAGGTGGCGGTGACGGACAGACACCACAGCCTGCAAGCCGCCCTGAGATATACCAGCAGCGCATGTGAGCATTAGGTGGCGGTGACGGACAGACAACTGGTCAGCCTGCGCGCCTTGAGTATATTACCAGCGCTTGTGTGCATTTGATAGTAGAAGGCCGCGCATGTGTGCATTAGGTGGCGGTGACCGACAGACACCACAGCCTGCAAGCCCTTGATATATACGGCCAGCGCGCTTACCAGCATTTGATAGCAGGAAGGCCGCGCATGTGAGCATTAGGTGGCGGTGACGGACAGACACCACAGCTTGCAAGCGCCCTTGATATATACGGCCAGCGCGCATGTGAGCATTAGGTGGCGGTGACGGACAGACACCACAGCTTGCAAGCGCCTTGAGTATATACGGCCAGCGCGCAATGTGAGCATTAGGTGGCGGTGACGGACAGACACCACAGCCTGGCAAGCGCCTTGAGTATACGGCCAGCGCGCTTGTGCATTTGATAGCAGAAGGCCGCGCATGTGAGCATTAGGTGGCGGTGACGGACAGACCACAGCCTGCGTCTCGAGTATACTACCAGCGCATGTGAGCATTAGGTGGCGGTGACGGACAGACACCACAGTTTGCAAGCGCCTTGAGTATATACGGCCAGCGCGCATGTGAGCATTAGGTGGCGGTGACGGACAGACACCACAGTTTGCAAGCGCCTTGAGTATATACGGCCAGCGCGCTTGTGTGCATTTGATAGTAGAAGGCCGCGCATGTGTGCATTAGGTGGCGGTGACCGACAGACACCACAGCCTTGCCGCCTTGAGCATACCACGCCGCATGTGAGCATTAGGGGGCGGTGACGGACAGACATCAACAGCCTGCGCGCCCTGAGTATTACACGCACAGCGCTTGTGCGCATTTGATAGTAGAAGGCCGCGCATGTGAGCATTAGGTGGCGGTGACGGAC